ACGGTGCCTACTGTTCACTTGCCTCAATTAACTCTTATCTTCAATCTATCCGCATATATATCTCTCTATCTCTTATATTCCGCCAGGTTTATATACTAAAAAAGAGGGCGCCTCGAACCAACTAGAGTTGCCAGGAAGATTCATGATCCTTCTAGAAACTCCAGCGCGCATGCTCCCAGAGTCGCGTGACTTCCGCTGTCGTAACAATATATTCAAATTTGATGACGAGGAACCCACCTTTTAGAAAACAAAGTTTGGATACGGCCTGAATGGGTAGTGAAACCAAACTTTATTAGAAATGTACAACGTTTCGAGAAACTTTCGTACCTGATGTTGACATAAGCTTGTCGAAACGTTGTACATTTGTAATAAAGTTTCTCTTACTACCCTTTCAGACCATCTCCAAACATTATAAGCTGTATATATGTTATCATTTTTCAAATAATAACTATTCCGCTTGTCATATACCATATTTTATGTTGGATGACACTCGAGACGAAACCTTTAGTGAGAATTAATGTTCTCTATAAACTCGAACATGGTACTATCCCTCTTCCCAGTGGCACAGTCGAAAATCTGCAGATTTATAAAGCCAAAAATCGGGTTCCGATACCCGTGATAAGCAAAGCACAAATAGCCCATTGTGTTGCTTTGCGCTTAACTACAAACAAAATTCTAACACCGTACCACGTCATTTTGATTTGGCTCGTGTGGCTCGGTTTCGTATTCGTCCTAAGGAGCTAGCTGCGCATGCTTGTACCGGTATTACTGTGATGATTAACCTTGCACGGAACCGCCAAAATATCATACTTAACCAGTCTGTGTACGTGAAGGTTGATGTTTGGAGAGGAGACTTCAACCATTTTGCCAATTTCATTCGTAGCGTATATTAGATTACCGTTTTTAACTTGAAGTTAGAATAGCCAAAAGTAACCCCAGTATATTTGTTCGAACAATGTTCTAGTTTACCGCTTGTAGCTTGAATTTGATACCGATAATTCATGCCAGGTGGCATTAATTTCATTTATAAGTATTCTGGGGCAAGACAGGAAGACATAGGAACTTATTTTTTATAATTGGGTCATGTACGCTGATGCAGCCAATGTTAGTGAATAAGTCCTTATTTCATCTCTGCAAATTCACGCTCACTTCCCTCGTGTTTCTATGTTAAGCGTGTTCTCATTGGTTTGAAAATGTGACGTCAATGTGACGATTGGTTCGTTTGATAAATAGCAGACAGTGGGGCTGAAGGAACAGATTAGTTTTGAATTAGGACCTAGTTACCGAAGAATACAAGAGGCTAGCTACAACAAGACAATGCCATCCATGGATAGGTTATTATTTTTTCATTAAACTTAACCTTCTTTCTTTAATTAAATACAAAAACACCAGTTATGATATTAAAAGTCATTTATCGCCTTTAAGATTAATCCATTTTCAAAATATTAAAATCTACAATTTTTATTATTTTATTTCCAGAAACGTCAAGTACCCTCATTTTCACGGGATTTTCGAAGGAAGCGTGCTACGTTATGTAGTGAAGGTGTCCAGTTTAGTAATGTTACTTGTTTTGTTTATTGGCTATCATCCTGGTCTTGTCGATTTTGACCCTCAGCCGTACAGGTAAGACACAAAAGATAACCTTAACGTTCTTATATACAATTTTAAGATATCCCCCTAAAGTTTAATTTTGTACTAAAACACGCCTGTTTCAGCACTATCAACTTTTTCAAGATGGATTTCAAGTACCCATCGCTTAAAAAATATTTATGAGATCAGATTGTTTTAATTTAGCAACGTAAATTTGTAATATGCAAGTTATTACAAAACTGTAAACAGAAGACCTTAAACTGTGTATAGTATTTGCAGAATGAGTGATTCCAGCTTTTGAGTTAGTAGTTTGTTGAGTAGAGATGGAAAAGTGAGAATAGTTGTGGAAAACCGAGAAAATTTTATGTTTTGAATCAATCGTTATTTTTATCTTTTCACTTTTAGACAAATCTTGATAAAATTAAGTAAATCCAGTATATATATATATATTGTTCTGAAAATTGGCAACCAAATATTTAACAGTGAATTAAACATATATATTAAAATGTACACCCATTGTCGGATTAAAGGATTTTGGGGCCTGGTGCACTATGGGAAATTTCTCTTTTTTTTTATATATACAGCCTTAGATATCAGATAAACTCCCTGTATTATCATTATTAATAAAAGGCTTACGTCTCTCTCAGCAGAAAACACTGTTAGGGTAAATATTCTGTGTTTTTACCCTAATAATTTAAAGTCCAATATAATTGATTAAAATATCCTTGTACCCGGCCCCGTTGAACTAGCAGATAGGCTGAGAAAGCACTGTGGTCACTGTAAAACCTGAAGTTTAGATATATTGTTATTATAGGCCAGTTGTGGCTTTTTTTTTACATCTTTTTTTTGGAAATCGTTGAGATATTTTTTTTTTTTGCCCCTGTGAGCTGGGGGCCCTATGCAAGATTACCGACTGCACATTAGTTAATCCGGATCTGTGTAACCCACATCTGGTTAGGAACGTGACAATAAGTTGCCACAACAACAGTGGCGGTATTGCGGTGTTTTTATCGTAAGCCCTTCACACACACACACACACACACACACACACATATATATATTTCTTTATTGATATGTTTCCAGTATTACTGATGAAGCCTTTTGTTCAATACTAGCCTTCACCAGATCAGCTGGTATTATACGAATGGCCTCGTCGGCAGTAGCGTACGCCGCACGAGGTATATGGTCGAGATGGTTTAATATTTTCTTTTACTGTAAAACTTATATGTGGGGCCCATAAAGGAAAGTTTGTGAAAATTGATTATCAGTCTTCTAGTCATGTATTATGTCACACAGTTACCTAGTGACGTATTATGTCACACAGTTACCTAGTTACGTGTTATGTCACACAAGTTACCTAGTGACGTGTTATGTCACACAGTTACCTAGTGACGTGTTATGTCACACAGTTACCTAGCGATGTATTATGTCACACAGTTACCTAGTGACGTATTATGTCACACAGTTACCTAGTGACGTATATGTCACACAAGTTACCTAGTGACGTATATGTCACACAAGTTACCTAGTGACGTATATGTCACACAAGTTACCTAGTGACGTATTATGTCACACAAGTTACCTAGTGACGTATTATGTCACACAAGTTACCTTGTGACGTATTATGTCACACAAGTTACCTTGTGACGTATTATGTCACACAAGTTACCTAGTGACGTATTATGTCACACAAGTTACCTAGTGACGTATTATGTCACACAGTTACCTAGTGACGTATTATGTCACACAGTTACTTAATGCTGTATTATGTCACACAGTTACCTAGTGATGCATTATGTCACACAGTTACCTAGTGACGTGTTATGTCACACAAATTACCTAGTGACGTGTTATGTCACACAAATTACCTAGTGACGTGTTATGTCACACAA